TGTGCTTTGTCATAATAAAAAAATACGAAAGTAATTATCCTTTTCTTAGACTTATTATATTTTGATTATAACAGAGTCCTGTATAGGAAGAAAAACTACATTACAGCATACTATAACAGTTTAAAAAATGTTACAAATAATTGTATAATTTAAGAAACTTGGTATTCTCAACTCATTTAAAAATACTTACGCTTTAACCAAATAACATTGCATACATTTTAAGGAATATTTTGCACTATTTTTGAATCTCGCTTCAAGATTAAAAGAAGCAAACGCTGATTGGAAGAATCCGAACCTCCTGAAAGTGTATCACTTTCTTTTAGGCTGCAGACTCATATAGTTCTTTTCTTTTCCCCAATGGATAGTCTAACGCTGACGAGTCTTTCTCTGAATACTAATGCAATACCGAACTGAACCAAGTCTCTTTTTATGCAAATGCAAACCTAGTAATTTTTTTCCTGCTAAAAGGCAAACGCAAAGGAAAGGATGTTTCGAAATCAGAATGAAGAAAAAATATTCTTTTGTCTGTAGGAGAGACAAGAAATTGGATTTAGGAGTTAGAATTCTATGCAGGTACATTAAATTAGAAATATCGACGCCAAAGTTTGTATCTTATCCGAGGTTTTAAATATTAATGTATGCAAAATTTCAAAGAAAAATACATGAATTACTATTTATTATGTGATATTTTCTACATGCAAGACCTTTAAACTTTAATAAAATTTATATAAGTTGGAAACGATACTGCATCTCCCTGAAAGCTTTTTAAAATCGTGTGCAAACAAGATTGTGGATCTGAGCTATCTTTACTTAAAGTAAATCTTAATGTGGTGCACAAAGGGAAAAGATTTAATCTAATCATTGCACGGTAAAGTTATTTATTTAATGCATACCTACAATTGATATATTTACTTCCGGGCTGCATACATTAATATAAAATTTAACTCCATGTGTATGCGTAATATAGAATGCCAGCGAGGCATGGTTATGTACTCATCTTACATTATGGTTATTTGTCACTATTTTGGTTTAGATTTTAAATGGGAGTAGACATCTAAGGAATTGCTGCTTAAGTCTCTACTGAAGTCGCATTTGAAATAAGGAATTACTGGATAAAGTTATAAACCCATAAGGTATTTTCTCTCTCCTTCCAGCATACCTTCGTGGTCTAACGGTAGCACACTCAGCGCGTATTCCAGAGGTCCAGGTTGTAGCCCCGCGAGGATGGGATTTTTCATTTTTCACGTCTACTGTTTTAAAACAAAACAAAACAAAACAAAAAAAAAAAAAAAAAAAAAAAAAAAAAAAAAAAAAAAAAAACTAATTACTCTATAGCGGTGCTCGAACTAAAAATTGCTGGACGTTAAGTTGTCACCACTTGGATTTGTCGATTGGGTCTTCTCATCGCCAGTCTCCTTTTAAAAGAAGAAAGTACATAAGGTATTTTCTCCCTCTTTCCAGCATGTCTTAGTGGTGTAACGGTAGCGCGTGTTCGAGAGGTACAGGTTCGAGTTTCGGGGAGGGCATTGTACATTTTTGACATCTACTGCTTCAAAATAACCTAATGAGTCTACAATTTGAAATATATTTTTATCGAAATATAGTGAATCCTCTCAAACTCGGTTGATGATTTCAAATGATTTTGGTCTTTTGCCAAGGAGGTCATTTTAAAGCTATCATTTATTTAAGCTAACTATCAGTGATGGAAAGTAGTGAATTACCCTATGGTTCTTGGATACCGTGAAAGAAAAGTACTGATGTAGAAATGCGGTATACATGTTCATTAAAAATGTTATAATAATAAAATATCGAAGTAATCACAAAGATCCGATAGCCTGATATTTGTTTAAATCAATCACTATTTGTTTCCTTTTCTAGAAGAATTCTGAACTCTCGTAAAATAAAAATGATTTATCTTATTACTGTCTATCAAGAAGTAAATGCCTATTATACTTTCCAGCCTGCATTAAACTCCCTTTGTGACAATCTTTAGGTTCATTAACACTTAATCGCATGTCTAAACTGAATTCATTTGCTTTTCGTTTTATCCTAAGGTAATCTAAAGTTCGCATAAGATTTATGACAATTTAAAGAAAAATAATCTCATACATACCTGCACTGCATTCATGTACCGCGTTGTCAATTTTAAAATAAAGACGGCCTATTTCAACAACGTCAAGGGTAGTAATATGTAGATGTCATTTGAATAATTATTTGCAATGGAATTCCGTTACTTTCCTTTTGATATCTCGATATTTTGTATAACTCCAGGTTACTTATTTATTTTCTAAATAATTTACGATGGTTAAACAGACCAGCAGTAATCTGATGAAGTAATCTAGTAGTCTATTAATAGTTAGACTGTTTCTAACATCGCCTATAAGGTTAAACAATATAGGTACATTTTAATTATACTATTACTATACTTATAGTACATCTTTTTGCATATGAAAGTCCGCAGGTTTCCATATTCTGTTATAATTTATTTATTACATTTATTTATTATAGATTCTCAATTTATACCTAGGTTTAGAAGTGTTGTGTTATGTTGCATGCGCAAGTGAAAATGTCAAATGAGAAGAAAGCAAATTAACATGACAGTTGGAAGGAAATTGGAATCTTTAAAAAGGCTGGACAAAAAGAAAGTATTAATAAAATTGCCATGGATTCAGGGTTTGGACAATTTTTTTTTTATGCTGAAAACATGAAAAATGAACAAAGCCCTTGTTTGGACCTCTAGAATAAGTGCCGAATTTGCTACCGTTACATCACAAAGGCATGCTGGAAGGAGGGAGGGAGGAAATGCTTTATGTATTCCCCCTTCTGAAGGGGAACTGAGGATGAAGGGACCCAGTTGCTAAATTCTGGTGGTGGCAGTTATCGTCCACCACCTTTTAATTCGGGCCCCGTTTACAGATTCATTAGGTTTCATGATGCTGGAGACATGAAAAATGAGCAATGCCCTCGCTGGGACTCGAAGCTAGACCTCTTGAATACGCGCCATGTGTGCAACCGTTGCACCACGAAGGCATGCTGGAAGGAGGGAGAAAATACCTTATAAGGTACAAACAAAAAAGGCTCGAAATCCAAACTAAGTGCGTGTAAAGATAATATACTGATGAAAGGAAAGTAAACCTGTGAAAAGTGGCGACTACGACAAACTGATTGAGGCACTTTATTTTTAATTTAGAGAGAAAAAAATTAAGACCCATTTTACAAGAGAATGGCCTCAAATTCTATGAGGAATTTTAAGAAATAGAATCTGGATCTACTGCTAATATTACTGGCTTGAACAGCTGGAAGACGTGTTACTTCATCAGACAGTTGAACACATTCCTTTTCTGTGTCTCTCTACTGCTAGCTTGCTGTCGACTGTTGCACTGTCGTATTTGAATATTGCAAAAATGGGAAACGTTTGCTTGAAATTATCTAATAGCGAGTAAAATATTTTATGCGGGAAAAAAAAGGCGACCCAAATGTGTTTACTTGGAGTAAATGATAAATATTGTGTAAAAAGGAAATTAAATTTATTATACAGCACTGAATGTACTTATCCCCACCAAAGTTTCAATGCTAGTATGAAATAAATGAATTAAATTTACATGCACTAAAATATTGTAAGGTTCGTTTATGTGAATTAACCAGTTATTTTATGTTTTGTATTCAAGGTGAGGTTTTTAGATAAAGACAGGGTGTGATATGTCTCTCGAGGACACGTTACTAAGTTCCTACAGTAGATAAGATTTGTACTCTTCGGCCTTGCATTATAGTTGCCAATAGTTGAATATCCACTTCAGTTAAGCTTTGTGCAAACTTCGCGCTAATAGATCTGTGTAGCCTTTGGCTACTAACTTTATTAATTAAATTTTACATTTGATTAACTGCTACTTTATATTATCTCGCGACAAGTGGTTGACCGAATTGTAAGCACCAGGTGTTCCTTAGTTTAAAGGATCTTTTACAAGTTTCAGTTGTTATATTAGCCTTAGGGATAATTCGCCGCCCGTCTACGTAAAGTTTGGTTACACTTTATGATACCCAAGAAAATTGTAAATTTTATAATATTTAACAATCTGACTGGTTTTTTTAAAATTTGCTCAATATATGCGAAGGTTAGGCGCCACAGATACGAAGCATACACGTTCAATTCATGGAAAGGATATTTGTCATAGATTTGGTTTTCTAATCTGCCTCATTCAAGACGCGTTTCTATGAGGAAAAAAAAAGATAAGCTTTTCCATTCATTACCCCCTCCTCCTCACCCCCAGAAAAGGAAAGTCTTGAAAATACTTACTTGGAAAATCTTCTCCAGTTATGGCAAGCTCCAGACTGCACTGTCGATGATTCAGGTTTTTCAAAACATGCCTTTTTTTCCATGTCTGAATAATACCACAGAAGTTGGTTCATTCCGCAAGCGAATGCGAAGAGCACTAAACTGTACACGAAGAAGAATTTTACGATGTCGATGACCATTCGTCCTAAGCAAATTTGTAGAGGACCCAGATGAGGATTAACCGAAAAAATGTAGACGAGTTTCAAAGAGCTGCAATGAAATACAGAACTTTAGAAGATATGCATATTTATACATTTTAAAGTATAGTGCGCATTTGTTTTCTAAAAATAGTGATTTTAGTTGTTTGAAAAATTAACAAGGTTTGCGTCCTTTTAAAAATCTTTATTTGCTTCTTTCCATATGCTCACTCAAAATTAACAAGTCAGACGGCACAAAACGAAAGAATCAGTTATGTGTGATTCCTCTATTCCGAAGGAAAAGTATGCACAAAAAACGCAAAGTATGATGTATGAAATTCGGTTATATTTGGAATGAACTGGAAGACGATTCACGGCTACATTGCATGGTCTGTTTAGAGACAGTTGGCAAGAGCAAGGATTTGAAATTCGCTGAAGCAATTTTCATCACGTATGGAGAAGACGCAAACCGATGTCAAGAATCAATCAGTCCAGTTTTGAAAAAGAAAGAGCATAGAGCAACACCCCTCGAAAAAAACACTTTTTTGAAATTTTCTAAATTCCTTAAACATCTATGCACACTACATATGTAATAGGTATAATAATTTCAAAATCTAGTAAAATATTTTCAATTTGTGAGATTTCCACTAATACAAACGAAATAATGTTTGGTGATTTTTCCTAAAAAGTGGCAAGATTCGGATGATGCAATCAGCTGAAAGATTAGTGAAATTTACAGTGGTTCGAAGATCACCCGATTCAGAGTGTTAAACAATCATTCATAACTTATGGTTCTACCCCTGTCCAAGGTTTATGCCGATTCATTATACAATACAGAAGGAACCAATCGCTGCAGGAAGGTATGTTTGCTATGAATAAGCTTACCAGAGTCCCGGTTTGAAAGTGGGGTCTCTGAGACCCATCGAGTTTGCCATTTTGTCCCCGCTGTTCGGTTAAATTATGTGTCGAATGTACAAGAAGTTAAAATAATGTTGCCTTAGGTTAGAATTGCAATTCGGCAATTAAAATATCCCTCTGTTCTAGTCATTGTTCCAATCTAAATATTTTGTATATAGGTTTAAGTCCAGATATTTTCCCCAAAAATGATGACAGATGTCTTTCTTACATTGAGCTACGGGAAAACAGTTTTGGTGGAATAGAATCTTTTATTTGGGTAAACAATAGTGAATCACGCGGTCTGAACCTGAAGCTTCAAGTGAAACAAATTATAGAAATTGTTGCAAATAACACAATAAACATGGATCAATCTTTTGATGAAGTAGCGACTGCAAAAGATTTGGTCAGCTAATTAAAATATTCGGTAAAACAAAATTTGTGATAAATCATGGATACAACTTTTCAATCATATAAATAAAATTTGCTCAATCTTGCTCAAAATAATAGAACACATTTTCAGCATGTCAGGCACATCGGCACTAGTCGAAAGAGTATTCTCAATAGTGCATATCATATGGTTGGAAAAGGAGACAGAACAGATGAATGAACCATAAAAGCTTTAGAAAAACCACAAAATTACAATGAATTTTTCGATGGCATTAAAAGTAGCAAAGAATGATTAGGGAAGGTTCTCGCTGGTGATAAATACAAATAATATTTTTAATAATACGATATATTCAATTGAGTTATTGAAAACTTCTATTAATTCACTGTTGTTTTTGTTACCAACTTCTTTATTTAAATTTTTCTAACATAGATACTTATTCTTCTAGGATTTATCATCAGTTGCGACTAGTTCCTAAAAATTGCCCCGGCTTGAACAAAAGTTGTCCCGATTTTAGCAAAACATGTTATGGTAAGCTTAGCTATGAGCAAATCAATCTTTCTACAGTGAACGTATTCAAAACCATCAACACTTAGCTTCAAAAAGTTTGGAATTGAGGAAATATGGTAGAATATGTGGTGACGGAGCTTGAACTAAGTGTGACAAAAATTTTAGTCTCGTGACTCGAATAACTGAATGCAGCCCAAATGCTTCGTTTACTCAACACTGCATTTAAATAAAAATATCTAAACGTTTGCTAAATAGTCTTTAAAATGTTTGAGTATTCCTATTGAAAAAAATCTACAAAGTAATGTTCCTATTCCTTTTTACATAAGTATCCTGGTGTTTTCGGGGAAAAGTTTTAAAACTATTTTTAAGACTTTGAAAAGAACCGGCAGCGCTTTTTGGATGATAAAAGTGGAAGTGTTAATATACAAATAAAAATAAAGCGAATACGCTTCGGCGCCACTATTTAGCAGACATCTTTTCTAAATTTCACGGACTAAATTGAGGAATTTGAGGAAGAGGAATATCCAGTTTATTTTAAATCGTGATAACATCAGAGCATTTCCCAGACATTTGTTTTATGGATTAGTTGTATGGATTTAGTGAATAACGAAATTGTGTTTGTATTGAGGTATCTGAAAGCTTTGCAACTGAAACTAACGCAAAACGTGGTAATAATATTATTATTACTTTAAAAGACTAAACGACAAATCTCAAGTTTATTGTAGAGAAAAAATGAAAAGGTTCTAGCTGGAGAAGAGGATTGAGGATCCTTTCTAAGTTGGAAAAAGCGACGGGTATATCCGCAAACACCAATGAAAAAATAGTTAGTTAAAGAAAAGAAGAAATTAAAAAAAAAAAAAAACACCTTTAAAGCAAAACTTTAATCAGGTGGGTGGGGACCAATAGAAGTTCTAGCTATCAGTTGAGCGCAAATATCTGCGAAATGCAACTAAAACAGAGATCTCCGCTTTGTTTTCATACTTATGAAGTGTAATACTAAACTGAATGTTAAGCAAAAGCGGAAATTAAAAAAAAACTAATAAGCTGCAGCTTTAGCACTTTAAAGTAATTAGCAACGACATGGATGTAAGAGTTGTCATCATCGATAACATGAAAGAAGTTCATACATAATATAAACTTTATTATAAACAAATTCCTTTAAAACCAAGTAATAAAAAATTAAGGAAATTTGTTATGAGTTGTTTGCCAAGTAAAATATAAATTTTGAAATTTTCTTTTTGAACATAAAGGATTGAAAAAAGTAAAATTGATTTCATATGTGTGTTGATATTGAATTTTTTTAAAATAAATTATTAGCTCAGAAGGTCTATTAGTTTCAAAACGGCATTTTGCTTCGATTCACTTTTCAAAATATTGCCACCAAATATTATCGCCATATCTTATATTTAAAGAAATTAAATAATGAAGAATCTGCATGAATGCATGAATGTTTCTCGCATTGTGAAGAAACAAGGTTACCTAGAGCCATCAGATTTTGAATAACGTAGTCTTCCAACCGAACATGGGTACTTGGAAGCCCGAATTTTGAATTTGTTTTATTATCTACTTAAAATTTTGCAAACCTTTAACGGATTTTTCATTAATAGACTCAACAATTTCAAAGCCAGCAATGGCGACACTGCAAAAAAAAAAAAAAAAAAAAAAAAAAAAAAAAACCTCCAGCGCGCGCTATTGTGTATCAGAAATTCTAAAGATATGCTCTTTTTAAATTGTTTTGTGATATGGCTGTTGAATTGAATTTTATGTGGCTTAAGTGAAAAGAGCATGATATTTAATAAATAAAGGTTACACACAAAACGTTGAAAAAAGCCCCTTTGGGGTAATATAAAATCTGAAAAACTTTCAGATTTTTTTTTTATTTTTCCTTTTTTTATTTGAATAACTTCTACTTTACAATTTTTTCAAGCGGGTAAAATATCGGGTGAATTAGCAAATGCTTTGTTATTTTAGTTTTAAAAGCAAGTCTCGAGGGGAAAGCATGACTCACTGATCCAGAATATTTTAACGAAGTTACAGTTTATTGAAAATAGTTCATCGTAATAGATGCTTTTATTATGAACATAAGCTTTGATATATGATACAGATATATGAAAATTAGATATGTGTTAAGTTAATGACATTGTCTTATCGTTCCATACTCCACCGATTCACGTCTTGGCGGTGGACGTAGAAATGTGTCAAATGGAATCAATGGGTCCAATAAGTGAGAAATTCTCTTTATTTTTAGATTTCTCCAAGACGATAAGTTACTTCAAATTATATAACAGTTTGGCACAAACTGCGGCGAAGTGGCAAGCACAAATGACAAAGGCACATGAGAAGTATTTTAATTATGAAAGCAACTGAAGAGAGTACCAGTCTAAATATACACCCATAAATACTTAAATGTGTACTTCTTCAAGTAGGTTCATTGCTTTTAAATTTGTTTTCAAGGGGATCGGAGCATGATAAGAAAATAAAACCAATGATTAAGAATAAAATTGCTCAGATTACGTTAAAATGAGCTGTTTTAGTATCTGTTAGGTGAAAATGAGCTGTTTTTGTTAAGATATTAACAGTAAAGAAGGTGCCTTCCTAGTTGAAAGTAAGTGAAAACATTCAAATGCAGTGAAACTGAAATATATTTAGCGCAAGCGCGGTGAATATATTTTAATTGCACTGCATTTCAATAATATTCATATATTCTCCAATTTTAGATGAGATATTGATTTCAGAACGTGAAATAGTTCATTAAGATTATAGACTCGTGTGCAAAATTAAGAAAATTTCACATTAAATGGAATTTCTGAAAAACTAATAGACAGATTTCAATGAAATTTGCTATGAATATACATTTATAAATGAGAAAGAGGTGCTCTTTTAAAAAGTAATTTTATGTTTGCATGATTATTAATAAATCTTACAGTGCAGGGATGTCTAAAATTTACATCGTGGTATCAAACTGATAAAGTGTGTCTCATGTGGTGTATGGTTTTCCCTAACAGTCGTGCAGTATGACGGTATACTAGACAGAAGGCAGCTGAGGAGTCTCTGTGGAAGTCCATCCCACTCCTGCAAAACGAGTATCTTTTCTGTCGATTGTTATCGAATTCACGCTGTACTTAACTAGAGGAAGATTTCGATTATTGGCATATATAATTATATATATATGGGACACCTCAAAACATTATTTGCATCAATTAACAGAAAAAATATGTCTAGTGAATGAATATTTTGTCTAGCTGTTAGATTATGATCTTAAAGTTATGAAACTATGTGGG